CGTCAACATCACCGGTGTCCAAAGTCACCTGCAAATGTTCGTCTGGGAACTCATCGGTCCGACGTTCTGCACGGTCAAGTAAAGTGACGGCACTTGCTTCGAACATCGAGATATAGGCCTTAAAGTTCAAGGCCCATTCTTCCCAGTCGGCTTGACTGCCACTGAAAATCTCAGGCGAGGGAAGGCGAAACTTTCCTGCAGGGTCACGTTCGCCTCCGCTACCATGCGAAAGTACGCTGTACCAGATTTGCACACAAACACTACCCTAAAGTAGACATGCGCTGCTCACTCAGCTTCAGACCAAAGTAACCCTGAATGTCCCGGAGCGCCTCCTTCAAGGACTGCACAAAGTGCATCATGATCTTGAGCCACATAAGGGGCAAAGTCGGGGTATGGAGATAACGTGTTATCTTCACACAACCACATGCACAGACAAACAAACAAGCAAAAACAAACACACACACACACAGAGACAGAGACAGTCAGTCAAATGCACAGTGCCTCGAGGTCTGAAAGCCTCGAAAGCCCTCCTACAGAAAATTGACGGCACTGTTCGGCGCGTGGGTTGGATGCCAACACAATGGAGTGACAATAGTCGCGATAATGATGGCGGCGGTCAGATAAGCCGGCGATTTCGATGAGAATCGTGGTGGAGGCTTGATACCGATAGCTGATGGTAACCATGTTGCTGAGGACAGTGACGATACCAGGTGGAAATGAAAATCATGGGAGACCTGCTTTTGAATCTAGAAAGGGATGATAATAATGGTGAATAGTGGTAAAATAGTAGCAAAGACAACAACAATAGTAAGAACACGATGGGCCAGTGGATAGATCCTGGTTGCATTGGTTACACATCTCCTGACCCGTACTGCACGGATCTGGTAGCCATCGACATGGCTTTCGGGATGTAAGAACTGTAACTACAGGATATTCAGCAAACATGGTAAAGATCATGGTGATTATGATGATGATGATAATGATGATGAGGGTCATCATCATGATGGCAGCAAGCTTGTTGCTGTACGCTGCCGCTTTGACAATGTAACCTCGGTTTCAAGCATTTGTTGGCCACATGCTCTCCCAGTATGACAACAAAGATGCCATGTCGGTGGTTGCTACTGAAAGCTTCCATTCGCGCGCTGGTGACGTTGGCAGCCGCTGTCGGCAGTATTGGTGAACGGCCACATATATAGATATATATATATATATATATTGAAGGAGCTACAGTCTACTAACTAACACGAAACCCCAAACCCCAGCCCAACTCTGCTACTGGTACTAAAGGGGCCTTCATAATCAGAATAGGGTTTACTGTAGTTGTGTAATTACTGAACCCCTCATTTACCTGCATTTACCTGTCCCCATGGCCCAGCCTTGAAGGTCTTCTGCGAAGGCACAGAACACCTGACACGGGACGGCTGAACAATTGCAGCTCAACATTCGATCATGCTTGGCGTCCTTTAATTAAGCTTAAGGGGCGGGGGGTCCGGGTTATATAAAGAGATTAAAGTGAAGTGGGCTTCGAATCTAGAAAAGAGGTGTTTTGCCTCCGGCATTGCGAGATACTAGACCCGCTGGGAGGGACAGTCTTGGACCTTTTTTTCACACAGGCTTGATTGGAGCTCGCCCGGCCAAGTCCCGTCGCAGCACATCGCACTCGTCTACATTCTTTTTTTACATAGGCTTGGTTGGAGCTCGCCGTTCCCCCACAGCACCACCCTATATCCTAAACTCCGAACCCTCTCACCAAAACCCTGAACCCTAAACCGTATTGCCTAAACCTAAACCCTATAGCCCAAACTGAAACTCTACATCTGCTATCACCACCACGTGTCTGGGCAACAAAGGCCTTCTCTGCGACAAAGCATTCTATAATGTAGGGGCTTTAATTACTTAGAGCAGGGTTCCTTTCTAAAGGTTCCGAGGAAGGACTATAAGAATGACGCTAAAGGGCATTAAAGGGTATTATAAGGGTGTCGCACAAGTTTAAAATGGGGCCCTAAGTAATCAAATTAGACTAGGGTTTTAGACAGTAATGATTATGGGGAACTTCTGGGCAATGGAACAAAACATGCTCGACTGAGCAGCCTGTCCCCCCCTGTTCTGGAAGTCCACTTCAAAGATGCAGACACGGTCAGACATCTGAACGAGGTCTGGAAGGGTGTTCAGGCGGAAGCCCCACCTCGGAAATGACATAATCGCTGGGCCAGGCGTCAGTGATCCGGTCAACGGATGAAGCCATGCAAACCCTAAGTAAACTCCGCAGCAATGAGCAATAACGAGCAGTAGCGAACGATGCAGGGAAACATCCAATATGGTCCTGCATAAGATGGGTACGTGAATTTTGCACACACGAAAGTTTCTGCAACATTCTGCAACCAGTACCACAGAAGGATGCAATGTTGCATAAGGGACGCTCAATCCGGAGATGCAATATTCGGTCATCATCATGAAAGCAGTCAACATGGGCAGACACTTGCCCATGATTGAAAGGCCTCTCGGTCCTAAACTGTAGAACCCTAAACCCGAATCGATGGGCCCCAAACCACAAAGCAACTCTAGAGCATCGGAGCTGAGGATATGCTCGCTGAGCCATTGCTTCGTAACGAAGATCTTGCCAGTGTCCTGGTAGGGTTAGCAGCTTAGCCAAGGGATTTCTGAATGCCACAGAATGCAGACTGCACGGTCCATGTTCTGGTGTTTATCTGTCGTGCTGCTTCCAAAAGCGCGAGAATGTGAGCGAGATGTGTAAAGTGCAACCATTCGGACTATCGCTGCCTAACGTTGTCATGTCGAATTCACATCGTGCAGGCTTGGTCAGCGCACAACCTCACCAAAGCCTCTAAACTTGAATCGCTGTTGAGGCTCTTGTGCGGCGGAGTCCCTGGATGCGACTTCCATCCATGTTCTACGCTAGCACAATGGACAAACGACGGACTATTGCACTATGCATGTATACATGAATCTATGCAGTTACGTGTAAAGGCACGTGTGCGAGTGTGTGTTTGTGTGTATATATATATGCATACACACTTGTAAACGTCATTGAACAAATTTAACATCCATGGACTGTACAAGCCAAAAAAGCCGCCGGCCTGGACGCCGTGCAGGCAGCCAGGAAGCCAGGCCAGCCTTCGATTGGATTTATTTGGATTCCACTCATACTGATAATTACGCTCTCGCGCGTCTGGGGGTTGTCTTATCCCTACCTCCTTTTTTTCCCTCTCGCATAGCTAAGGATCAAAGCCCACAAGCGAGGTTCGTTGGGGAAGATTTGAAGACAAGCCCATAATGTCAAAGAGACTCCCAGTCGGACCTACCCCTATTGAAGCCTGCGGGACTGAGAGCCAACCTTCAACATCGCAGGTAACAGACATATCACGGGCTCCAACTACAATAGCCAATAAGAGCAACCTAAGGGATCAGAGCCTGATGTGACATGCCCGGACTACGAGCCAGCAAAGGGCTGGACAAAACAAGGACATTGCCAGAGTTTGCAGCAACGTCAGCAAAACTAGTACTAGACTAAGCTAGCCTCGACGGGTCAAGACAGTGCGAGGAATGAAAGGGCTCAAGTTGTCAAGCAGCAAAATGCTGCACAAGCACTACAAATTACAAAATACGAATTATAACAATTACAAATTAGTCGCAGTGAGAATGGCTTTCAAGTAAAATTGCCGAAAACCCCACCCCCCTGAGGCTGAGCCTGCACAGCTCCTTCTTAACGCATGCTGGAACCGCAGGGTCGCCGGGAGGGCCTGGGCATGGCAACACTTCTGGCGGGGATGGAAAAAGAGGGGTTTGGCCTCCAGCTGTGTCACTGTTGTGTCGAACAAAGCATGGGGAATGCCGGGGCTGTGGCACGGCAATCCGGCACAGCGGCTGATTTGTAACATGAACCGGGGATGCGGGACCTGCTTCGTGCAAGCGCGTGACCAAGCCCGAGACTCCAAGAGCTAGAAGTAATCAATGTGACTGGTGTACTAGCGAGTCTGTCGTTGGTGTACATAATCTCAAGTGTTTCGGCTTGCATGTCAACCTTGAGCAAGCTTGCAGCTTACACCTACCTGGTCTACTTCGTTGCCAGAGCCTCCGAAAACATGCCTGACCGAATTCCCCTCTGTTCAACTTGCTGTCTCTTCTGTCATATTTGTCAAGTGATCAGGACATCCTGTCCCACGCACACACACACACACGCACACGCACGGAGAGAGAGAGAGAGATATATATATATATACATACATATATTCATTCATATTCCGGCCGAGTCAACCCCTGCATGTCAGCTCCCGCAGAGTTTGGGACCGTGCCCCGGCCCTGTGATCACGATGCGTGGCCAACAAGGATGCGACAACGACAATAATTTGGCCCAGTGATCTTCTGCTGGCGACAGCCCAAGAGTGTTTGATGCAGTTTCGTGCAGGCAATGACAGCTCGGACGCATGGCTGCTGAGCGCAGAATGGCATGATGTCTTCGCTGACTTCTCTGCAGTCAGTCTATCTGAATCCGCAGCCGCTAGCGTCCCGACAGAAGAGGCGACCTTGTCCGAGCTGAGTCGCCTTACGATCTCCACAAGTTGTACTGCTAAGCAAACAGATGAACACTGCTGACGATCTTCATGAGGGTTGCAAGGAATGAGGGCTTTCAGTGCACAACTCAAGACTTGAATGGAATAAAGCCGTGCGCCTAAGGCCTAAGACCACAGCGCAGGTGCAGAATGTGGCAACCTGGGCTGCCAAACCTGCTCAACTCTTTACGATGCGCTCAAGGTCTGGAATTATGAATTGAATCCGAGAAAATGCCTGGCCAGGTGATATGTGTAGGTCTTCACTTGAAGACAAAAAGGGAGTCACAGGAAGCTACTGCAACCATGCCCGGGGCAACAGCTGGACTGGATGAGCCAGCGAAAGCAGCATGAGTGTCATAGAAAGCCACCTCATCTTGTCCGGAGACAACGCCGTCTCCATCCAAATCCCTGAGTGCGAAGAATTTTCCCTCCTCGTTGCCGACGAATACAGTTCCAGCAGCATCGATCGTGGGTGCACTCCAGCCATTCGGTAAACACATCCCGCGGACTCCATGCGCAAGCCGAGTCGCAAATCCCTCGGCATCAGCGGCCTGGTACAGCCCGGTCTGGGCCGGACCATGAAAGGTCCACCGCAAACCGCCAGTTTCGGCATCATGGACTTGAACATCGCAAAAGGCTCCGATATGAACCTGCTGGCACAATGGCATCACAACTGAAGTACCCGGCAGGTTCAAGACTTTGCCGACAGCTGGCGCGTTGTTTGGAGGGCGAGGTGTGGTCACTTTCCACATGAGGTGTCCATCACTTGTGTTGTAAGCACTGAGCGTGCCCGGGCTGTACTCGCTCACCAGCACCATGGGCTCGGGACTGTATGGATTGGCCGGTGCCATGGGCACTGGGTGATTTTTGTTGACTGCGTATACTAAACCGTTTGGACCCAAGGCAATGCCGCCATCAGTCCAAGTCCCCTCACGACCACCTGCCTTCCAAACTAAGTGACCTGTGTCCAACCAGAGATTGTACACCTTCCCAGTCATATCCTGGAACATGAAGGATCCACCCTCCACAAAAAGGGGAAGAAAGTTCCACACTGGCGTGTCTGGCTCAAAAGTCCACATCTCTTCGCCAGTGCTAGCATTCAAAGCCTTCAGTTTCTGGTTGGCTGGGCCGTAAGAAGACGGCAAACGCCAGTCGCAGGCAGCAAGTGCAACCCCGTTGTGCACCATGTTGAAGCCGTTGTCCTGGCCTATCGCCTCGGAAACACGTGTCTTCCAAACTTCCTGGCCGGTTTGCATATCTAGGCAGAAGACGTGTCCCGTTGTGCTGCTACCATACACCCTACCTTTGTACAATGCCGGTGCATTCATGACCTCTGCTGGGAGCGAAATATATGCCCATTGCAGCACACCATTTGTGTCGAATTTCCTCATGCCATCTGCTGCCGATAGATAGATATTGCCATCTTCGTCGATTGCTGTGCCGTACGTTAACGTTGCGAACCGACCTTCTGGATGATGCCAGCTCCACGCCAAACTTCTGCTCAGGTTAAAAGGTGCCACATTCTGGGACACTGCGTAGTCTGGGAAGTTACCGCGCCCTGATGCCCAATGGTAGTCGGGCTGTGCTCGAGAACTGCTCTCCCTCGCCACAATGTGGGCTTGCAACATAGTGACGGCGAGCTGCTCTACCTCGTGGCAGGTGTCTCCATCTACGTGGCAAGCTTCTTCCGACACTGCTCGGATGGTGCGGCAAGCACATATCAAGACAAAGGCCAAGGTCTGCATCCAAGGCATCGGAACAACACGAACAGGCTACAGCATTTCTGCAGCCAGCTGCGAAACAGATCAAGCACACGAGCACTTGTTGCAAGGCATGCTTATTTTCACCTTCTGATTATGACTGCCTGTGCTTGTGGCAAGCTTTCACAAGATTCAAGCTCAACTGTAGAGAAGCTATGCAAGCAACTCGTCAATTGCATGGCCTTCTGTTGGTGCAGGAGCCGCCGACTGACCTCAGAACATCTCAAAACAATGTTTACAACCAATTCTTTCTCCCCGGATGCTCAATAGACACTCACTCGTGCATCTAACGAGGCTTCATGATGCATGTCACCAGCCTAGGCTACACATGCAAACCAGCAGCCGCTTGATAGTCTGCATGACTGGAGATTCCAAGATGCTGGCTCCATGACCCCCCTCTCGATAATCAATACAACGTTCCGCTCGCTGTCAAGTTCGCTTTCCGTTGACGGTTTTTCCCCATGCGCTTTGAGCCACTTGGTTTGCTTAACCAGGTTGGCTTTGAGTCCTAGGATCAATCGGCTGCAGTTTAAATGCCATTCCATGGTCGGGTTTGCTTGACACCGCGTGCTCGAAGTTAAAACCTGCAGACCCTTTCCCCGATGCTTCTACAGAAACGCATGCATCAGCAATCCATAAACTCCAAGCGCGCCGATGGAATCTTGACTCGAAGACCCTCCAAGGCTCACACAAGCATAGACTCCAGAAGAGGTGGCAGGGCGACTGTGAGTATTAAATAACATTATGTGGACATAACCCTTCTTCTGATCCTTCGGATGCCAGGTCCTGCTTTCATGTCTCGTTGTGGGAACATGTGCGTTGATGTCTGGCCCTGGAAGGAGTTCCATGCTATGAACAAGCAGCTGGCTTGGCTTCTCTGGCGGCTCTGGTGTGACATGCGTGACTGGTTAAAGCTACCGCTGACCAGACGGACGATGCCGTGGTACACTAAAATCTGCATGTCCGCTACCAGGACCTAAGATTCTGAAATCACCAAAAGTCGAAGAATATTGTATAATCCTTCCGCATTATCGGCGTTGCAGGATTACAGAAGCACGTGTGGTTTGTGTTGACATTTTGGCTCGCATATTTTCTCCGACATGCGAAGTAGGAAACTGATGTCCGGCGAACCCGGCGAGACTTTGTCTCGCACGGCCTCATCCCGTCCGCAGCTGATCCGGCAGGACTGGATTTTTGAAGCGCTGGCTGGTGCCCACGGCTCGCGGACCATGTGGTGGCATTGGCATGCTAGCCACCGGCGGATCACTTGCACTATTTGGGCCAGAAGACGGCCAGTGGCTTGTTGCCCACGATGGGACTGTCGACAGGAGCACGTCTCAGGGTGACCCAGACAGTGGTGGCTTCGTCTTCGGCAGGGGGGACTCACACTTCAAAGCATTTCAAAACTTGCAAGCTTCCGGGAACTGTGCGTCAGCTTGGAAACCATGGGTCTCAACGTATTCTGGCACAAGGCCAACATTTGTGGCAGCAGCGGGTGGCCGCCTACCGGGCCTACCGCACAGCATGTCTAAAGATGTGCTGCATGGACATCGTGGAGCCCAAAGTCGAGGTTCTCAACCGCCTGCAGTGAGCACCCTGTGCTGCAAAAACAGCTCCATCGGGCATGCCCAAGGCACGCCCTCGCTCAGTGCGCTCTCCGGGTCGCTTCCCCACAGCTTGGGCCTAAATTGGCGGGCAGCCAATGCAGCGCGACCCGATCCCCGGGATACACTCCAGAAGTGTCGCTGTGCATGGATGATGAAACCAGGTTTGCCGCTTCTGGTCCTTCTTGTTGTACCTGCTCGTAGTGCATCTGGAAGACGACCTGAACTGCCAAAACTCCGCAAGCCCAAGCTCGGCACAACACCTGCAACAAAACTGACTAGCTGGTGTCCAGCCAACGCGAGCTCAGCTTTTCTGGGTAGTCACTGCAGGAGGCACTAGCCCACGGGACCTTCTGGCAATTGCTTCTGAAACCACGAGCTAGCGTTGAAATGAATCGAAACCCCATTTCTTGACAGCTCCCTGTCTCACGGTGCCAAGTGTGGCGACCATGCAAGGAATCCGCACGACGACGCATCAAGGAATCCGCACGAAGACGCATCAGTGGCACGGGATGTCGATGCAGCCTTCTTATTAGGTCCATCGCAATTGCATCCTGAAGGTCACGCCACATGGCAACCAGGAACTGGCCCACCTGCATCTCACTTGAACTGTAAACGCTGTATGGACCCGCTTCGCCGCTCCATTCGTTGACATGTCTTGACTCAACTCCCATGTTTCAACCGGTCGGGAGAAGCATGTAAATATCGACCGGACAACCTTGCGACCTGGCTAGGACCTCCTTGGCCCAGTGCCAGCTCGGTCACACAAAATCGAGCAAGCACACTGCCAGACTGGCTACGTCCCAGCTTGCTGGAGCTTCGCGCGTCATGAAAGCGAGGTGGTTCACGGTAGCATTGCTTGCGCAATGCCCATGGGCATGATCCACGTTGCTCGCACACAGCGTCAGGAGGCCAGAAGCTTGGAAGAGGGGCAGCGAGGTGCGAAGCAAAAGTAATGTTCTCCGGGTCAAACCGAGCTCAGTGATTCCGAAGCGGCGTGCGGATCAACAATCGAAGCCAGAAGTGATCTCGTCAAAATTAGGCTCCCGCGGCTGTTGTGCCGTGTGGGTGCAGCAGGAAATGGCAGGGCAAGGGTGAGGCTCGAGGACATCAAGGTGATCTGGATCGATGCAGCCAAGGTCAAGGCCAAGGGTTCAAGGTCGTACAGTAGAGCCCTACAGCAAGGAAGTTGCAGAACACGAAGGGTCACCCAGGCGGTCTGAACACCCTCGCAACCCCAGACGAAAGTGTTCTCAAATTTCTACAGCCCATGCTGTACGAAGCCACGCAGCCTGTCAGAAGTATGCTTCGGGCCCTTTCTTGAATGTGTTGCAATTCCGACTTCCATGTTGCGGCTGGCTTCGCTGCTGAATTCTTCGTGCTGGGGTCTCGCGAAAATCGGGCTTTTAATGCAACTGTGCTCCGGCACCCGCACGCAGCATGCAGGAGTGGTGGCCTCGGGCCCACGGGTGCCGCAGGTGCTTTGCTTCATGGCTTCTAAGTCAGCGCTTGGGTGGGTGGGCCTAAGCTTCGGACCCGCAAGACCTCACTCAAATCAGAAACCGTGCACCTCCTTTGCGATACTTTCCCCCTCAAAACGATCTGCGCGCTGGCACCCGGACACCTGTCTCGCAAATCAGCTCCATCAAAATTGGGTCCCAAGCCTCCATCTTCCAAGCAGTGGCTGCTTTGGTCATGCAGGCGAGATGGCCCACCGGAATTCACGACAAAGCACCTGCACCCTCAAAGATGGCTCAGCGGCCTTGGTAGCTTGTCCTGGCCACACGCAGTTGGCAGACTGGACGCTGCACGCGGGAGCCAGCATTTCCGATCTCAGAGCCGGCCTACACCAGCGACCATCTGCACCGCCTGCGTGCCTCGACCTCGCATGGAAGGGCGGGCTGCGAAGCCTCAAAAGATGCGCATCACACGCGGGGGATGAACACTGTGTCACTATTGGCTTTGGGAATCGCGGCTCTGGGTCTGCCGGCCTCCTGCAGTGCTGTCATTGGCACAACGCAGACTCGCCCCACGCCGGATTTTCTGGACAAGACTCGGCCTGCGCTCTGGACTTCTGGATTAGGGCCACGCCAAGCCTGGTGAAAACGAAGGCCATGGAAGCCCAGAAGGGGTTGGTGCCGGAAGACAATTTGGGCAACGTGCCCAGAAGTGCAAGCGCCTATGGCAATCAGGGCAGGGGTTTAGGGCTCTGAATGTGAATTTGTTGCTGATGTCGCGAATGCTGTTGGAAGCATGTCCTGCTTGTCCAGCTTGACCGTCTCTTTGGCATCTCAACAATCAGAGCCGCGCACCCACGGCGACCCCCCTATTTTCCAGATAGGTGCTGACCAGCTTGGCGATCAAGTGCAGCATGAGGTCTGGGCGACCCGGTGCTGCTGAAAGCAGAGCTGTACGGCACTGCAAGGACACCGCTCGCTGAGGTTTCCGTCACTTTGAGGGCTTGAACACAAAACTGCACAAGTCAAGCGCATAAAAGCGGGCTCAAACGATGGGCCAGCCATGGCCAGCCCGGCTCAATCCTCTTACGTCTTACTCCTTGTTTGACGCAAGTCGTTGTGTGTTCCGTCTTCTTCAAAGGGAGTTCTTGGCCGTGAGAAGATGCCCTTGGATGTAAATCAGACATGCGAAGCCGGCCGAGCGCCAGCGTGCACGGTCATGCCCATCTGCAACATCACCACGGAAGAACACAAGACACCCCACTTCCTATCCTAGATTCCCAATTACGTTGCGTTCTCACCCCAAACACTTCTCAACCTACAGCTCTTGAAGTTCTCGTCAGCGTGCAAACGTCAAGCCGCATCTCAGGATCCTCGCCACGTACACTGGGGCCGTGAGGCATCCAGCCCAGCGCGTCTCAACCAAACACAAAAGGACCGTACGGGCCTAGCGGCCTAGTGGCATTCGCAATCATTGCCCGGTCCGAAGTTGTCCAAATCCAGCAGCCTTCTCACATGGCTCGGTTCCGTCGATTCTGAGTGGATGGGCGCAGGCGATGCAGCCAATGCTGAACGCGGGAAAGCGCTGTGAGCTTTCGAGTTCCAGCAGGTGCACTGTACTTTCACGGTCTGTCGAAATTGAAGCTCTGTCGTCACAGTATGGCATTCCTGGAAAGGCTCAACACGGCCCACCTGCCGTACCAGCCAGCGGTCGGACCTGCACCTGACGCGTTCAGATTCCGACTTCGACTTCTGCCTGCAACCAATTTTCCTCCCCTGAGAGATAATCGCGATGCTGGCATGTAGCGGCAGCATCGATGTGCATCATGGACGAGAAACGAAATGACGCCACTGTGGTGCAAACCAAGCCGCGCACTGGAAACGCTGCATCAGTCCAGGCGTCAGCGAATTAGCGTCGTGCACTTTGAAACCT